CTAAAATAGGAGATATCTAAAGCAAAGGCAAATTATATGATCTTTGGCCAATCAAATCACAGAATTTTGATGATCACTAGCGAAGCAAAACAAGAAATAAAACAAAAAACCTGAAAAATACAAAAAATAGCAGTCTAAACCTACTTCAGGTAGGTTAATCAAAAGTGTTAGGTAGGCAATTTTACTTATATATAACGATAGCTACTTAAAACCAAATCTCACTCTAATATAAGATAAATATGAGTTGCCTCTACTTTAGATGTCTCTCTAAAATAGCAAGAGTTAGATCACATGATATTGGGCCAATAAAATTGTATCTTTTATTTTAAAAAAAAAAATGCCTTTACTTTATTAGGCTTTGTAATAATCTTCTAGACTATTAAAATTTTAGAGAGACTTATCAGTAAGTGATAAACTCTAAACATGTCAGCAGATTACATATGAGAACTATCTCTAAATGACATGCGCTGTACCCAAAGGCCATATAACTATACCTAAATTACAAGTAAAAACTAATCTAGTTGCTCAAGGAGTACCTATGTTTGATCTGCTATAGTAAGATTCTCCTCCTTCCAAACCTCTTTTGCAATTGGATATGCCTGGCTCTCAACAGATGGTACCTACTGCCTATTATAACCACCTCTCCCTTCTTTTAGACTTTTTTCACCTAAGCCCAACAACATAATTAAAACCCTTATTTGTACATAAAAGTAAAAAAATAAAGCCATGTTTATGAAAGATATAAATATTTTAGAAAAAAAACACCTCACTGTGAGAAAAAAAAACTTTTCATCAAATTCTAAAATAATCTAATATAAATGAACCAAGATAAAAAAAGCAAAAAAAAAGAAAGGTAGCCATGACATACTATTATAGCCCATGCCAGGCATAAGAATAAAAATTATATAATAATTGCAACTAATTAATATATCTCGATTATAAGACATTACCTTATCATAGAGGACTTGTTTTGGGCACCAACAAAACTCAAATGTCTCCTAAATGTGAGCACTGATCTCTTCCCCATAATGTTGCACTGTATTGATAAACAAAACAAACACATAGTTGCATTCTACTGAGTAAATCTGAATTAGGAAGGTGTAAACATTGCCGATCTTTTGGAGGGGGTGAGCCCAAATACCTACTTTTTTTCAAAAATTTTGAAGAGAACAGCAAAAGCAAGAGGGAGGTAAAAAAAACCAGAAGGAGACACTAAAGAAATTTCTACCCAAGCCTGCACAGTACTAAGTCTTTTCGGTGAGTAATAAACTCTGAGCTTGTTGGCAGATAGTATATGAGAACTACCTCTAAACGACAAGTGCCATGCCTATAATAAATCACTTTTTCTATATCTTACGTTAAGGCTCCTTTTAAACCAAGCCATAATATACGTTATTTAAAGAAAAGTCTCAAATTTCCAAAGAGCATCGTTAGAAAAACATATTTGTTATTCTTCTTCTATTCTATTCTTTTGCATTACAAGTTACTTCGTTGACAAAAAGGCCCCAACTTCTCATAAGCACCTTCTTTTCAGAATTTTGAAAGCAAGAGCGCCAACTTCTGCTAGTTATCTTGTTTCCTAATACTTTTAATTTGCATGCCAAATATGTAAAGGAGTCTCCAAAGCAAAAGGTTGACCTTTACAAAAACTACCCCATAGCACTGTCTTCTCCTTTCTAACAAATTTTTGTTTTTTGTTCAGTGGGAAATTTTGGTCCAGATAATTGTTGGAAAAAGTTCTCTAGACTTTTCGTTTAATAAAATTGTATATTTAACCAGAAAAAATACATTGATATAAATAGGAATTAATTCTTAGACTATGAGGTACTAATCTGGGTCATGATAGTAAATAGTAATAATGAGTTTATTTGGCAAATTTAAACAAATTCAGAATGTAGATAGGATTTTCCGGGTTATGTAAAAATCCGACCTCTGATCATGATTGGTTCTTATTTGTTACACAGATCTGCAGATCATGGATCTTTTTTTTTATATTGTTTTTTTTTATATAATGAATAGTTTTTTTTCTTTGTTCTTTTCAAGTAATAATTATTGATTCTTCATCTTTACATTGTTGGTGTCATCTAGTTGGTGCTCTTTACGTCATTGGTGTCGTCCAGTTGGTGCTCTTTATGTTATTAGTGTCATCCAGTTGTTGCTCTTTTCGTCATTGGCATTGTCCAGTTGGTGCTCTTTATGTTGTTGGTATCGTCCATTTAGATATGCATTTCGGTATTGTTTTTTTTTTCTGTAGATTTTGTGTCAGTTCACGTAATTAGTTTAATTTTCTTTGCTTCTTTTGTTCCTCACTTAACAATTTTATCAGTTTATTGTTTTGGCATTGTCTAGTTAGTGCAGTGCATCTTGTGTCATTGTTGGGTTGCGCATTTTGGCACTGTTTTTTCTTTTGTTGTTAGTGTCGACTATTGGTGCCTTTTTTTTTGTAGGTTTCATGCAGTTCTTCAAATTTTTTTTTATTTCTTCCTTGCTTTGCTTTTTTTACTTATTCTTCATGTTTTTTTCAGTAGGCTTTGTTGACAATTTTGTTGTTCATTTTCTTTGGTGGGCCTTGTAGTGTATTAGTGCATTAGTATTGTCTAGTTTGTGCCATTGGGTCATGAATTTTGGTATCATTTTTTTCATTGTTTGGTGCTTTTTTGTAGACTTTGTGCCAGTTCTTCATAAGTAGTTTAATTTTTCAATTTTTTTTTTGACTTTGTTTGTTACTCATTTTTTTCATACTTTCTATAGTGGTTTAGCTGATGTGGCTTAGAATAAGTTTTTTAACAAGGGTAGAGTTAGATAATAGCATTAGATAGTAGTGCGAAATTAGAGTTGGTTAGATAGTAGTGCTAGAGATAGTATAAAAATTTTATATAGATAATTATAAAATGAAATAAATATATAATAAAAAATAAAGCTAAAATTTTAGTTCTACTTGGTTGTCCTCTATTCTAGTTTGTAAAAAAAGAACTTCTGAAAAGTTTTTTATTAATTGTGAAGAGCTAGAGAAATATTTAAATAAATGTTCAATGGGAACAAAACTTGTATTCAACCAACATGAACTTTGGAGAATTAGTAAACCCAAATTCCAAACTGTGATCGCTACATACATATTTTAAAATAATGCATATTTGATCACTAGATAATGCTATAAAAATTGTATATATAAAAGAGAGGAGCAATAATAAATAAAATATATAATGTATTAATCTGAAAAAAAAAACTTTGTGATCTAGTGATCGAATTTGCATCATTTTAAAATATGTATGTAGTGATCACAGTTTGGAATTTTGGGTTTACTAATTATCTAAAGTTCATGTTAGTCAAATGCAAGTTTTGTCCTCATTGAATAAAATAAATATTTAATCAGATTGTTTAAAAATAATATAAATAAGTTATTTTTGTAAAAGTTAAATGTTTATTTAAGTATTTCTTTAGCTCTTCACAATTGAATAAAAAAACTTTCTAGAAATTTTTTTTTCAGCAGTTTTTCTTGAATCGAGTCATCACCAAGTAGGAACTTAAATTTTAGCTTTATTTTTTATTTATTTTTTTTCTTTTTTTTTAAATTATTTCTTTAACTAATTCGTTTAAATTATTTTATTTATTATATATTTATTTCATTTCCATAAATTTTTATACTATCTAATACTACAAACCTACACTAATACCTAACCCTAACACTAATTCCATACTACTATCTAACTTTAACCCTAATTTTGCACTACTATCTGATATTATGATCTAATCCTATCTTTATCAAAACTACTAAAGAAAACACAAAGAATAAGTGGATGAAACAAAAGAAGCAAAGTACAAGAAAGAATTAAAAAAAATTAAATTACTTATAAAGAACCAGCACCAATATTTGGTACCAATGACAGAAGAAAAAATAATGCTAAATGCACGACCTAACAACGATACAAGATGCACCACACCGACTGAACAACACCAAACAATAAAATGATAAAATTGCTAAGTGAGGAACGAAAGAAGCGAAGTACAAGAAAGAAGCAAATAAAATTAAACTACTTATACAAACGATGAAAGAAAAACAACCAAAATGCATATCTAAATAGACGACACCAACGACATAAAGTGCGCAACTAGACAACACCAACAGCGTAAAGAGCACCAACTGGACAACACCAATGACATAAAGAGCACCAACTGGACAACACCAATGACATAAAGATTAAGAATCAATAATTATTACCTGAAAAGAACAAAGAAAAAAAACCATCGCTATATAAAAAAAACAACATAAAAAAATCCATGCAGAACTATGTAACAGATAGGGACCGATCATGATCGAAGGTCAGATTTTCACGTGACCCAGAAAATTCTACCTACATTCTGTATCTGTTGTAGATTTGACATACACAAAATAATGTAATAAATAGCACATAATTATTTGTTATTAAATAAATAAGGCATTTGGTTATGAGGTTATGATTAATCAAATTTCTATTTTTGTTTATATAATGTAAAATTTTATCTTGTAAAGCAGAAAGTGAAGTGATACTATCTCTATTGTGTTTAAGTAACAACCAAATAATACTTGTGTAAAAGTGAACAAATAACATAGATTAGTAAAAAAAAGTTATTAGAGATATAAGTAAAAATTATAGTGAAGTGGTAAATAATAAATGATATTACTTGACCTATATGCTTTTTGGTTTTAATTTATAAAATATTTAATTGATTAAAAAATAAACTTATATAAATTATTACATTTTTTTTTTATAATTATACATATAAACTTAACTTTTATAATATCTAATAAATAGGAATATCCAAAGTGTACAATTTCTGAATTTTTGTTGAAGTTCTGGAAGATAATAGAAAGCCAAAGTTTTAAAATTCATCAGATAAAGAAATGGTATGCATCTTCTGTTTAAAAAAAAATAAAAATTCTTTTGAAAATTTAGAACAAAGAAAAGGAATTGTAATAGGCAAACCACGATATTATATTTAGCATCTTCTTGCTTGTTTAAATGCAAGAACTTCAAGATGAAACAAATGATATTGATGTTGCTTCAGAGAATTCAGTTTTAAGCAAACATTTTAAATCTAATCATAATAAAGAATGACTTGAAAATAGAATTTTCTAAAATCTCTAACAGACAAGTGGATTAAAAAATTTCAAGAAAAGCTTCTAAATATAACTATTTCTAATAGATAGTTATTTCAGTGAATAGAAAATAATAAATCATTAGAACTTTTTCATTTTCTTAATCCAACTTTACAGATTAAATCTACTGCAATTCTATCTCATTGAGCATTAGAAGGAAAACTTCTTAATAATACTACAAATAAGCTACAAACCAAAACTATAAAAACTTTATGAAGTGCAAAAGCTATTACTCTTGCCTTTGATAGTTGAAAAAATGTTGCAAAGCAAAATATTTTTGGCATTACTTGTATTACAGAAAAAGGTAAAGTAATAATATATGATGCAAGAGATATTTCAAGTGAACATAGCTCCATGGAGGCTACAATAAAATTAGTAAGAAATTTATTAATAGAAGATGAATTAAAAGATGTTAAGATTATTGTATTGTCACAGATTTATCAAGTAGATATGCTACTGCACATCACAAATTAAGAAAAAAATTATTAACAATAATTTGGCTACCTTGCTTTGCTTATCAGACAAATCTTTGCATTATTGATATTTTCAAGTCATTGCAATCTTTTTTTACTACAATTAAGCAAGCCATAGTAGTTACTACCTTTTTTAATAAATCATTTTTTTTTACAACACTCCTTAAAAATACTTGCAATAATCTTAAAATTTCTTATTTTGCTTTCACTAATCTTACTGAAACTTGGTGGTATTCATATTTTAATTGTATTTGAGCTCTTTTAAAAGTAGAGTGTGCATTAAGAGTATTTAAATTTATGTTTTATTATTTAAATATTTAAAATATTATTTTAAATTTTATAATTTATTTTAATAGAGCCTTTTAGTAACTCATGAAGCAAGTATTCGAATATATGATAAAAAAGCTTTACTTCTTTCTCAACCTGTTACAAGTATTTTAGATAATTGCAAGTTTTTTAATAATCTCTGTATATTGAAAGCAATACTAAAACCTTTTGTAAAAGCAATTGCCTTGCTTGAAAAAAATAATATCCGTTTTTATCATGTTTTTCTTTGTTTTGGGCATTTTAGTTAAATTTTTTCTAAAAATAAAACTGACGATCAAGAAATTTAAGAATTCAAGTTAATAATGATAAAATGTCTTGAAAACCATTAGAAAGACTGGGAACAACTACTTCTTTTGTTGGCATATTTTTTTTTTAATATTAAGGTGACCACTTAGGCTCTTGGCACTTTATTAGTACAAGCGGTAGGCTAATGTTAATTTTAGCATCGGCTTTATATATTTTATCAGTATTACAAGAGTACAACTAGTCACACGTACAACTTTTGATTGCCTATTTAAGTAGTCTGCCCAAAGCGTTAGTGCTATGCTAGGGGTTCTACACTAGCTGTCATACCTATAGCCTAACTAGGAAGCTATCTATTTAAACTCTCTGGCTTCAACCGACATCACATGATTCCTCCTAATATACCTCCATATAGAGAGTAATTTACCGTTAAAGACCCTAAGACTTTAGCCAACAACAGAAGGCATTTATCCTTGTAATAAATCTAACAGAGCGATGCATGTCCTACACATACACTTATCTGCATGTTCGGTAACTTCTTCCTAACTAGTACATGTTGTACTGCACCACCAGGTTCGTATCTCAAGCCAACTTTTGGGGTGCTGCCGTAACCTGATCTATATTTCAAGCACAACCTTCTTAATTAGTCACCAATTACGTACTCCTGCCCTTGTAAGGTTCACAACAACCCCGGTACTCACATTCTAACCGTCTTTTTACCCAGATTCCTTATCGGTCCCTCCCTTACTTCCAGTCGGCAACCCAGAAAGATTGGTCTGCCCAGGCTTTAGGTGCCTAAAGAACACCCTCCCCTTGGTTCATACTTTCGAAGAATATGGCCTTTTTCTCCAGTGTGTCTAATCCGGCGGTTCGGCTGGTGTGTCCCCCCACTAAAGGACCTGATCACTCGGTTCACCAATCTTGGGCCCTGGTTCAAATTCAGCCTTCATGTAGTACCATCAAAGATCACTGCTACCTCCCAACTTGGGACTTCCAAACGGGCTTCGATCTCTGGTCCTGTGACCCGTGCCAAGCAAAGCCCACCATCTCGACAGATCCTCCATGGGCCAACCTTAGTAAAGATCATCGCAGACTTTTCCCATATTACAAAAGCGCCGTCCCTGGGATTTGAACATGGGATTTTCCCATAACGTTTAGTGAGGGTGACAACTAGACCACTTCACTAAGTCACCACATCTCTTAAATCCTGACTTTCGATTAAGCAATTTAAATTTAAAAGCAAATAATATTTCTTTTGTAAAATTATGCAAATATGCCCAAATATATTATAAAATATGAACAAAAAATAAGCTACAAACACTTGCTAATGAAATGACACAATATCATGACTAGACATTTCCTTTTGATGATTATAAAGCCAACCAACTTAAAGATACACCACTTTGTTTTTAGAAATATGTTGAAGAAGAAGTATCTAAACTTGTATTTATTAGTAAACAATTATTTTCAATTGTAGTTAATTCATCAAGTGTTAAATAATTGTTTAGTGATATAGGCTTTATTCATTCAAAGTGTCGAGTTCATCTTAATAAAAAAAAAGTTATGAAAATAGCACAACTTTGGGCTAATCAACATAAAGAAGATATGAAAAAATTAGATTTAAAAAAACTCAATAGCATACAAGTACATACACAAAAAGTCCAACTATTAATATGAATACGAATAATGAAGTATCAGTTAATGTAAAGTCTAGTACAAATCAAATGATCAAAGAAACTAATAGTTCTGATAAAGAAATAGAATCTGAGCTTATTTTAGATAAATCAGATTGTACTCAAGTTGTTAATGAGTAGTTTATAGAGTTAGATAATAAAGTATACAAAGCAGAAAACTATGATTTAGATAATACTGAAATTTTATACCTGCAGAAGACCCTCAAGCAAAATGGAATCTAAATACTCTTTTTTCATCAACTTTGTCAAATTTGTCAAGCATTGAACTATAAAAAATAATATACTGTAATTTGTTTTATCAATCATTAGAATATATAACAATTTAATTTGCTAATTATAGTGTTACATATTTTGCAGCATATAATAAATGATAATTGTCTATGCTAAAGTAAGAAAGAATTAATAGATATGTATATAGTTCTTTTATATGTATTATTATCAAATTTTATATAAGATATATATACATATATATACATTTATGTACATGAACAATTTACAAACCTAACTGCAAATAAGTGTTTATAAACTTAATAATTGTTAGTATATATGACAAACATTTATATCTTTTGATCAAAATAATCAGATTTTACATATAACAAGAAAATTTAATTTAAAACAATTTAGAATATTTAGGATAATTTAGAATATTTTAGAATATTTGAAAATAACCATTTTAATTTTAGGATAGTCCTAAAACCAACCTTAATATACACGCACTCTTATATAAAATAAATTTAAATATAATAATTGCATTGGAGTATATAATTAACTAATATTATATTTCTTACAATTAACCTATTACAATAAGTTATCTTTAATATTAAGCTAAAACTAAACTATTCTTTAAAAGTTATTTGGAAAATCTATGCATGTTGTGAGAGCTCCTGTAAAATTTTTTTAATTTATTATTATCTTATTCTATTTCATTATTATTGTTATTTTTTTTTAATTATAAGAGTGTAGCACTGCACTTAGACTTTATTAATACTTAAATGATTAATATATGATGGTGCCTATATATATACATATTATATCAAGTACTAAGACTAGGACATAAGGTATACAAACTATTTATGTATAGCTAACACCCACTAGAGCCAACCATATTTTCACTATATAGCTGACCTGGATTTGTACATCCCTTTCCAACTGCCAATTAGTATTTATATTTCTATCACATTATTCACATTATCTACTCTTTCAACTTTCAAATCATGTATAATGCTCTAGGTAGGTGCTTGTTGCTTCTAGTTTGGTGTGTTTGACAGAGAATTACTTTCTAAGTCTCTACTAACATATTTCTAGGAGTTCTTATCTCAAGCTATACAGCTATCTCTACCTATTTGGGTAAGTATCTTAAGCCTGCATGCTGCCGTAACTAGCTAATTTCTTGCAACTTTGGGGCCTAGGTTTTAATATCTCTATTTTGGTAATTGTGCTAATGACTATACTTCCCAATATGGGGTCTCTTAAAGTGGAGCAGATTATGTTATAATTAACCAATTAAATTGTTAAAATTTGATAATCCCGAATCAGCCCAACAAAGCAATATAAGCAAAAAAAAAGAAGAAACTGTAATCTAAACCCACCTTGCAGTATTAACAAAAAATGTTGGAAAGATAGTTTTACTTATAGAAACTACCTTACCACTAACCCTAACTCAAGGTGGGCCTAACCCTAAAGTTAATAAAAATGATATTTTATATAATTTTCCCCACTTTAAGGACCCCAATATGGTGATGAGTTCCTAGATATGTTTTGCAGAATGCTTTCAGTAGTTAATATAGTTAGGTGACATCATGAGGCTCAGAGATAATAGGTATGTTGTTGTTTTTTTTATGGTAATTCTTGGCAGTTGTAGCCCCGATTACTACTGCATGTACTTATACTAGCTATACCTTATTAATGTTTTCAAGTCCTCTTAATGCCCAAAGGCTCCCATATGGGTACAACCAGAGCCCATTGAATCTATCAACATGTATATACCTTAATGCTTCAACTTCTTATTGGCTAGTGAGTTCTGTACTGCCAGAGGTGTTCCAAATCTGGTAAGACCAATTCTTTATTACAAGTTCTTTTGTGTTTACCACGTTTCTAACCACTTCCAATTCTGGTTACCACCTGATTATCTTTCCAAACAAGATTCCCAATACTACCTTAGAGGTTGTTAATGCTACTTTGTTAATTGCAAATTTATATGCTCAACCTTGTATAATAGACTCTTCCTTAACAACCTCATTATACATAGTGCCAACTACTTCACAATGGACCTCCTTCTAAAAATTCCTAATCCAAACCTGTATTCACTTGGACTTCCCATAGTAGATACTTCCAAATATTCATAGATAAATGTATATACTAGATCTTGAATCTGAAACCTGCTCATAAAGGGTTGGGTACCTAGACTACTAGGCTGTGAGATCCAAACTCATTTCATTACTGAATAGCAAAAACTATCTACTTTTTTTGGTATTATTTAATATCTAATAACTTTACAAGTAATTATTTTAAAAATCTCTCTTACAAATTTATTATTTGTAATTTAAACTACAAATTTGTAAAACAGATTCTTGATATTTTGCTTTTTTAAAAAATAATGAGATTAAAGTTCAGCAACTTTTTATAGTAAAGCAAAAATTTGGTACAGGACAACTGACCAATCATATTAATGCATAATCACATGTTTATGATTTGATTGGTTATTATTAAAATTTATTTAATACAAAATTTGGTGCTTATTATATAAAAAAATCATTTTATATATTTTAATTAATCAAAATTTTGATACACAAAAATTAGCCAATCAGAATTGTTATAAAATTCTCAAATTTGGCACTTTTTTTAAAAAAATAGATGGCTTTTGCTGTCCGATACTGTATTAATATTAATCAGATAGCTACTAAGAAACCACTGCTAGAAGATATAAATGTTTTTTACATAGTATAGCCAACCAGAATCGAGAATATGCTGGTCCAAATTTGTTGTAGCAGCTATGGTTAATGCCCAAATCTATTAACGCACAAAAAATGCGTGGCAGATCCACGATTTTAATTGGCTAATGGCCGAGAATCTTCAAAATTTAGCCCACATTACATAATTGTTTACTAATTTCTGGCCGAAATTAACTTTTTAATTTTTCTTATTACAAAAATATAAATTTTTAAGAAATAAGACTGCATTATAATAAAATTGACCCAGGAGCAATTTTCACTTAATAGGCGACTGTGATTTCATTAGTAAAATTATGAGTAAATCTGGCCTAATTTTTGATCATCGCTCTTAGCCAATCAAAATTGTAGATCTGCCGCGCATTTTTTGTACGGCCAATGTCTAAATCTGCTACTGCGCCTCTCAATTCACGTGCTTCCCTGTACATTAACCCTAGGTGCCGCACAAAAAATGCGCGGCAGATCCTCGATTTTGATTGGCTAACGGCCGAGGATCTTCAAA